GAAGAAACAGACTCTGCTGACACCTTGATCTTCGACTCCTAGCCTCCAGAATTGTAAGAAAATAAATGTAATTTAAGCCCCCCAGTCTGTGTGACTTGGTTATGGCAGCCCAAGCAGACTAACGCAACAAGATTTGTACTGTGTCACTGACTGTCCCAGGGGGAAGCAGATGAATGTTAGGAGAGTTTAGTGGATCATATACACATGGTGAGGCAGGTGGGGAAAACTTCAAGGCAAAGGCCAGGGTCCTGAGTGTGACACAGTCAAGGAGGGAGCCATTACCACCAACAAGCCTCGAGGAGAAAGGAGAGGGAATGGGTCTGGGAACTCAGAAAAGGAGTTTCTGTAAAGAGAGAGATGCTTGACAGGTGCCAGCAGAAGGAAAGAGGGGAAGACATGCCCTAATCTTGTATTTCTCTTTCTGGACATTCTCCAGCCAAGGCTTCCCGCTGACCATACCCACCTCAGAGGCAGAGGGCAAGGATGCCCATCGAAGCCTCTGGAAAGAACAAGTTCCAGGTCTCAGAGCAACGTGAAAAAGAAGACTAGAGAGTGGACATAAAGAGGCAAATGGAAAATGTCCAGCCAGGTGCATATCTGGATTTTTAACAGAGGCATACCTGCTTCATCTCATTGTCTCTACTGGGCTAATGGATTGGTGGAAGTTCTGGAAGCTGTGGAATAATGAGAGCCCATTTCCATTCACTAATGGACTTGATACAAGTTTCAGAATATTCGTGCTGATAATACATGGTTATGGAGGAAGGTGTGGGGGACAGGAGGCAGCAGTTGAAGATCTAGTGACATAGCAAGATCCACAAAGTGAAAGTTCCAGGCTCATGTGCATTGTCTGTGAAGTAGTAGGAGAGTTGAAGGTAGACTATGATAAAGATACACACTATAATTTCTAGAGCTATACCACCCCAAAAACATTTCCACAGCGGTAGAAAGGATCTAAATTTGTGCCATCCAATTGGAACCACTTGCCACAGGGAGCATAGCCCTAAAGTGTGAGGGTAAGAACAAATCTAAGAAACAAATTAAATTTTTCTTGGTACATAAAGGGAGAGACTTGCTCTCCCCTTTCCTCTTCCTCAGAGCATTTACTTTAGAAAACTTAATCATTGCTAATTCTTTCTCTGCCCTTTTCAGATACTATAGAAACTTTTTAAAACTAAATGAGCTTTTTGTTAGATTTCCAAGCAGCAATGTCTTTCTCTAAGACCTGGGAGTCATCTCTTTGAACATCAAAGATGAGAACGTCAAGGAAGAGAGAAACTCAATCTCCCCTTCTCCATGGCGTCTGGCTCCAGATTGTAACTAGCTACCTATCACAGAGATAGTAGAAGTCTTATTATTTCTTTGGATAAAGTCAGTCAGCAACACAATGGCTACCTCAATTCCCAGGTGAATTTAAGACACACTGTGTATGACCAATGGTGCTGGCAAGTGTTGCTTGAGGATAAGATCTCATTATGTTGTGAACACACATGTAATGGGTTGTGTCTGCCGGGCTATATACAAAAGTGAGATTTCTGTCTTTGCAATTTCTTAATGGGTGGCCTGTGATGCACATCCCATTCTGGCATAATGCTTGTTCAGTAATAAAACTGTTTTCTTTCTCTTCTACTCATGCAGAGAGTTTTTTCGGGTTGGCAGGAGATAATTTTTTAATTGGATTTTTTTTTTACTGTGGATTTAATTTAATTTCCACAAGAGCAACCAGTTGAAAGGTCAATAGAGGAGCTACGGTGGCATCCTAGAACATTCAACACACAAAGGAAGGCAGGAAAGGAGCAGATAAATGAAAAACAAACAGATGGGACAAAGAGGAAACAAATACCAAGATGGCAGGCTTAAGCTCATCAATATGAATAATTGATGCAAGTAGACTAACCCTCCCCCTCCCCCGCATTCTAAGCCAGGAAGTGTTAAAATGGGTAAGAAATAAGACCCACCTCTATATGTATAAGAAATACATTATAAAGTTGAGAGTAAAAAGATCCAAGATATAAACTATGCAAACACTAAGCATAATAAAGTCAGTGTGGCAATATTAATGTTAGGTAAAGTGGATTTCAAGACAAAAAATATAATCAGAGAGAAAGAGAGATATTCTATAATGATAAAAGGGTCAATTCCTTGAAGAGACACAATAATGCTAAATATATTTGTACCCATTAGCACATGTCTAACACGTTTCAAGATACAGGTAGCACAACTAGAAAAAATTAAACGAGGAGTAGGCTGAGCCACAATCAGCCAGAGATTTTAATATCCCTCTCTCAGCAGTTAATAGAAACAAAATAGGCCAAAAAAAAAAAAAATCAATGATGATAAAGAGGACTTGAACTCCACTAAAATAGCAAAGCCAAGAAATTTTGGTATGTTAAAGAGGTAAGATTTAATTACCTTAACACTGTCTTTGGAAGCACCTCATTTCCAGGTGTTACTTGATAAGCAACATCTTACTGTAAACATTTTGATGCCGTGGTGGTTGGAATATGGTCTGTAGGGATCAACCAAATATTGCTCCCATGTGCCATTTGGGGTAGGAGCTCTGAGGTCACAGAAATGCTGCATGGTCTTTGTGCTTTAGGAAGTCTTGCTGTGCCAGTGTTGTGAAATATTTATTATGAATGTTGCATTATAGTATAGGCAGAAACGTTGATCTTTTCTCTTGTAAACTATAGTAAGTAACTAAAGCAGCTTCTTAACACTGATTGAATGATTTCATCTCTTTGAGTTAGATGTGTGAGCTTGCTTTAGCTGAACTCAACAGCTTCCTCCAATGTTACTTTGGGGGCAGAGAGGGAACTCCAGTCCCTTAGGAACAAGGTTGCCAGAGTTGGCAGAGAAATACAGAGTGCCTAGCTAAATCTGAATTTCAGCTAAACAACAGAGAATTTTTTTTTTTTTTTTTTACTATGGGACATATTTATATTAAAATACATCTGAAATTAAAATTTCAGCAGGCCTTCTGGAAATGATGCTTTTCCAAGGTTGTAAGCAGTTCTAATTCAAATACCGAAGTCAAACAAACGCCTTCTTTCGGGGAGCTGTCTCCTGTGATGCAGAACTATAGTCCTTGTAAACTATGACAGAGCAATAAAAAGATGATGGAAAAGGGTCACTCTCAAGGTCATCTTTTTATTTAAATATTTTATGATGATGCCCATACAAACATAATCTTCCAAGGAACAAATGTAAAACTTAAAACAAATCATCATTTCAGGTACAAAAAAACCATTTAGAAAATGTGATTATGTTACATACAAGAGACAGGTTAGGTTTTCCGAGTCTGTCCAAGGAGGAAGGTTAAGACCAAGTTTGGATTTTTGGAGTATGCAGGTCGTACTCACATTTCACACAGTTGTGAAATTCCTGTTGCATACACGGCAAAATATAACTATTAAGTATAAAATGGGAGGAAAAAAGCAACAATTGCTAAGTAGAGAGTAAAAAATTTAGATCATAGAAGATTGACCTTCATCTTGGCCACATACTTATGATATTTAAAAATATTTGCCTTTTACCCATATATATAGTCAGTAGGGGCAAAATGTATCAGTCTTTTGTATAGCATAATTCAAGTAAAAAACACGCCTAAAAAAAGAATTCTTGAAGATTCATTTCCCTAGCAAAATACCTTGAAAAAGAAAAATATTAACATAGTCTTTAAAGTTTATGAAAATTATTTTGTTGTGGGAAATATTCACATAAACTGTTATTGATGTGCACGTATGCTTTGAAACTTTAAATGCCCTGTTTTTTCAAGGAGCAATTAAAGTATAATCTAATGGGGCACCTGGGTGGCTCAGTGGATTAAAGCCTCTGCCTTCGGCTCAGGTCATGATTTCAGGGTCCTGGGATCGAGCCCCACATCGGGCTCTCTGCTCAGCAGGGAGCCTGCGTCCTCCTCTCTCTCTGCCTGCCTCTCTGCCTACTTGTGATCTCACTCTGTCAAATAAATAAATAAAATCTTAAAAAAAAAAAGTATAATCTACTAAGAAGCCAAAATACCCAAATAACTTTGCAAAATGAAAGGCAAGGGTGTTGTCCAATTTCAGGCCCAATTGTTCAATTGAATATTTAATATTTAATATTCACGTAGTTAGGACTGGCCAGTCAGTGATTTTGAGATGCAGAATAAATTCATAATTTCAAACTCACAATTACTGACAGTATAGGGTTTTTCAGTATTTTTTCCAACTACAAACAAAAGAGGATGGTTTCTAAAATTTGGTTTGATTCCACAAACATTTATTCGGCACTCGTGTTATGTACTGAGGATCTATAGCAGGGAAACAGCCAGGTTCTTATCACAGTGGAGAAGCCAGTCTGGTGGTTAATTTAGCTGTACGAAATTAGAAGATAGTGTATCCTGAGTTTGTAAAAATAGTATATTATTCTTAAAAGTAAAGTGATTTTATATTTATGAATTTTGCCCTGGATTATTCAACTGAATGGGAAGTGTTCAGTATTTTCATGATTTTGGGGAGACACAGGGAAGCAATAATGCTATTTTTACAGTCATACAAGACACACTCACAGAAGCATACAATGTGTGTTCTTTACCATGTCGATGTCCCCAAATTCAATCAACCTAAAACAGATTAAAAGGCCAGGCTTCTAGTCTTAAAGAAAAGAGTCGTCCAGACCGTGCACACAGTTTTGGAGAAACGAGGTGCTGATAATCTGCTAGGTGTGTTCAAGTATGGGATACAGAACAGCAATGTTCAAGGTGAATGCAGGAGGATAAGAGGCCCAGTCAGCTTCATGGGTGGCTGGACTGGACAGCTGATGCCCCGGCTACCCTGTGTCCATTTGGTAAACTCTCACAAGAAAGACTGACTCCCTGATTTGCTTTGTGAATATTGTTTGGCCCTAACTCACTAAAAGGCACTTAAGACACAGCATCGTCCTTATGCCCTCAGCAAACCCTGGGGCCTCTCTGAAGCCTACTCCTGGAGGCTGGGGCGGCGAGGCCGGTGGTAGATTAGTGATGGAGCAGTGTTTTAAGCCCAATGTGTATGTCTCTTAAGTCTACAGGCTCATCAAAAGACTGGCCCATTGAACACATGAAATGGGACCCTGGGTCAGACTCTGGAGGACTACGATTTAGGAGTAAGAATGCTGTACAATGCTGTGCTTGGAGACTCTGGTACGAGTAGAAATAGAATGACCAGACTCCTCTAAACTGAAATTTGGCAGGGGGCCATGGACCGCGGCTCCAGAAACCTCTGTCTTTCTGGCCATCCGTGAGGTTTCAGTAGGAAATCGGTAACCGGAGGCAGAGGTTTGCACCCTTTCTGTCACTGTCATGTCCCCTCCTGCTGCTGCAGCGGGCACGGCCAGAGGGGACGGCAGCCCCGAGCTGGGGGCCAGGAAGCGCTCTCTCTCCCTCACCATAACATAATGCGCATCTAGCAGAGGCTGAGCGCCTTCCAGAGAACCAGGCAGGCCCCCGTTGGGCTGCATGATTCTCTCGGTAACCACGACACTACCGTCATTAGCATACTGCTCCTCTACCAAGGGAGGGGCTGGCGCGTACACCCGCTCGGTCACAATAAGGGCCTGGGACTGGCCAGGACCCAGGATCACAGTGCTTGGCGGCATCGTGGAGCTTGCGGCATAAGAAGTTTCTGTTACTACAACGTTACCAGAAGCCAGTGGATCAGGGAGCCATGTAGCTACCTTCTGACTCTGCCTGGAAGATTGAGAACTTTTGGTGACTATCTCCTGAGTTACTTTCTCTGTGTTTGCTTCAGGCAAAGGTTTTGGAACTTGAAAGCTACTACCAGTGAAGTAGGCATTCTCCGAATTAATCCTGGTTTGCTCACTGAATGAATGGGAAGTTGCCTTCATACTTGATGCTCCCACAGGTTTTTGCCTTGGCTCAATTTCCCCATCCATATCTATTTTTTGACCCAAGCAAATTTCAGCTAGTGTCCTGAATTTAAACCCTAAATCATCTAGAAAATGATCATCGAGTTCTCCTTCAATAAAACTGCAGCAGCCAATGGAACCATGGAGAGACTCAGTGTCTTCCTGAGAATAAATCAGAAGGCAATCTTTGCCTGTGTGAATGTCGTCTTCGTCAGTGTAAGAGGCAGCTTTCTAAAATGGAAATAAAACAGAGGCAGAGAATTAGTGACAGCTTCACTTAGAATAAGGCGATATTTCGCGGCGCCTGGGTGGCTCAGTGGGTTGGGCCTCTGTCTTCAGCTCAGGTCGTGGTCTCGGGGTCCTGAGATTGAGCCCTGCATTAGGCTCTCTGCTCCGCGGGGAGCCTGCTTCTCTGCCTGCTTGTGATCTCTGTCAAATAAATAAATAAAATCTTAAAAAAAAAAAGAATAAGGCAGTATTTCTGCCCCAAATGCATAACCAGAGTCTCCTTATAAGAAAACATCAGAGAAACACAAATGGAAGGGCATCCTACAACACAGCTGGCCTGTATTCTTAAAAAAATTCCTATCTTGAAAGAAAAGAAAGGCAGGACTCTGGATTGGGTCTCAGATGGGAAAAACAATGGCTATAAAAAGACATTATTGTGATAACTTGCAAAATTAAATATGGAATATGGCACTGTTAAATCTCTAAATTTGTTCACTATACTATGTTAAGAAAATGTGCATGTGCACGTGTGTGCCTGAGCATGTGTGTGTGTGTGTGTGTGTGTGTGTGTGTGTGTGACAAAGAGAGAGAGGGGGACGGAGGAAGGGAGAGATTAGGAAAGCAAATAGCAAATACGGCAAAGGGTTAATAATTGGGTAACCTGGGTAAAGAATACACAGGAGTTCAAAATGTAGATCATTCTTGGAAATTTTCTGCTAAGTGTGAAGAGATTTCTGAGTAAAAGATTGCTCACATACACACACAACCGGAGCAGGGTAAGAGTGGAGAGGGAAAACCATCAAAATGAAACTAACAGGGCACCCCAGAGTGGAGCTTGCAGTGAGACTGAAAGGGGACGAGGAGAAATGGTTTTCCTGACACGAACCACATCACCATCTTCCTATCAAGCCAACAGGTGGGCAAATGGTCTGAAAGAAGGGAACGGGGTAGGAGACAGGAAGGGGAAAAGCACTCCGGTAATTGGCTATCGTGTCGAGAGCGGACAGAAATAAACTGGCCTCCTCAGAAGCCCATCCCTCCACTCCTCTCACGTGTCCTTCAGATGCCCAACACTCTGACTCTGCCCATCCCTGTGTGGGGCCCATGGACCTTCTTCTCAAGAAAGGTACCCAGCCCTGCTTCTAATTCCTCATTCCAGGCGTGGGGTTTCGGACTACATCCATCACCTCTCCTGCACCTCTCCTCCTGATTTTTTATGAACTGCCTCCAGAATGAAGCCAAGTAGAGAAAATCTAAACAGACAGGATAGACTGGGATTTTTAGGTCTGGTATTCTCTCTGCTCCCCGCATGCCCATCCCTATCAAGTCTGCTCCCGCAGAGGAATGGTACTTTCTGACCCACTGACATCTGGCTTCGTCATGGGACTTGCTCTGACTGCTGAAATGTGAGCACAGAAAAGGCAGCTGTGTGAGGAGTCGGTCATTGCCCGGTTCTGCATGGCTCTGTTCCCCGTTCCCCGAGGACAGCACCTGCCCAGTCCAATCAGCTCTCTCGGTGTGTGTCTCAGAATGAAGGCAATACGGAGAAAAGCAAAGTTGTGCCAACTGACAAAAACAGGAATGTGAGAGATAAGCTTCTGTAAAAAGGAAGATTGTGGGGTCATTCATTATCACTAGATAATGGAGCTAACTGATTTAATGGGTCTCCTCTGCTTTTCCTCACAGCCTATAGGCATTCTCTTAAAAAACGACAAAATCCTACTTAGATCCAAGGCAATGATTACCCGAATAATACGACTTTCAAATATAAATGTCTCCCCCCCCACCCCCCCACCTCAGCACCTATAAAAACCAACCCTTACCTCAGTGAAATAACTTCTTAAGAATTCTTCATTGACCAGAACAGCAGCTGCTTGAGCTCCGACCAGATCTCTGGAAGATCCTGGGACTTTCATGATCCTTGTCCCATCAGCACCTATGTTGGCTCCTGTTGTCCCTGTCCCTTCGGTCACTTGACCAGAAATCAGGCTTCTGTGTTCTTCCCATCTTCCATCCACCTCAGTCACCTCAGGATACCCTTTGGGGAAGGCAGACCTACTTTCTTTTGTGGTTTCCTTGGTCATTATACCTCCCACTCTCATGTCTGCTCCTACATTCTCTCCATGATCTGCTGCCACATGCAAAGGCACCACCTGTAAAAGTAAAGACAGTTGAGAAGTTAGAAGGACATAGGGTCGGTATAGGTGGTAAAGGGATCTGAGCTACGCTGGCAGGCGAAGGGAATAAGCTACTTCCATGGAGGCAAATTAGGAACAATACTTTGGGTTGAATAACGTGTATTTGAATCTTCTGAAGATCTCCATTCCAGCTTCTTATTTTGTCAGCTGATTATACCCCAGGGAGAAAACAAAAATTAATTAAGTATGGTCTCAGTTCATTTACGCTATTGGCATCAATAGCATTTTGACTTTCCTTTAGGGTTTAATGCCTCCTTCTATAGTTATTATATTTCTCTCTCTCTTCCCCGCCCCCCCCTCCCCAGGTGGACACATGCTGCTCCAAATAAAGACTATCTTCGCAAGCCTCCACTGCTACTTGGAATAGCTACCCAAGTTCTTCTTAATGTGATTTCAAACAGAAGTGGGGTAGGAAACTTTTGGAAAGTGTTCTTTAAGAACATTTCTCCCAACCTGCTCTTTGGAATGTGGGGACAGCAGCTAGCGTCGGGAGCATGAAGACAGCATGGGAACGGAACTCATCCGTGGAGGAACAACAAGGAAGGCGGAGCCTGTGGAGGAATCATCACGCTGATCCTTCACTGCCCACGTTCATATCTAAGCCCCTGTTCTCTGAGTGCTCTGACCCTTGATGCTAAATAGTGTCCTCCTGAACACAATGCTTACTGCAGATGGTGCTGACAGACCCGGGGGGAAGATGCAACAGAGGGATGATGGGACCTCCTTCTTATTAAGTAGGGAGGACGGGAGGTGGGGAGGTTTTGCAAGATTTTATAACTGTTATGGGGGTGGTGGGCTTCTCTTTCCCAAACCTATGTACTGGGAGGAACAGAAACGGAGAAGCACATCCTTCATTCCCTGATCCTTTTTTAACATTCTCTGGAACATAAGGTCTACCACAATAGAACAAGACCACTTCAACTCTGCCCTGGCAACAAACACAAAATCATCTGAACCCTGTTTAACGAAGACAGGTGAATGAAATCTATAATGACTACTTGACTTTCTCATGACTTAGACTATTAGGAACAGTGCCCAAAAGCCTTTTAAAATCAGGAAAGAAAACAAGTTCCAAGGACATCTGATTATCTGACCTTGTCTTCAGGTGGCGCCCCTTCGTTATTCCAAGGGTGCAGCATCTCTATCGTGCCAGGAATCGGGGTGAAGCCTTTGGCGCCTTCTCCACATTGGCACATCAGCAATAAAAGTGGTACAACTGGACAGAAACAAAATGGAGTCCCGAGAGGGTGAGTCCCCACATATTCTAAATTTATACTGCATGATTTTGGAATTTGTATCTTGCTTCTTAGAGTTCAGTCTTCACTTATGTACAGCCCTAGTTTTGCATTTGTCTTCACTCTGATTCGACCTCACCAAGCTTGTTTTGGTGAATCATATCAAAGCCTAAAAGCAGCATGAGGGAGTCCTCATCCATCACTAAAAGGCTGTGTGTGGTTCCTGGATGGAGCACCATGGCTGGATTCAATAGCATACAAATCATCAAGACCAATTTGGAGACTTAAATCTTTTGTTGTTCTTTTTCATCACTTTTTTAATAGGAGAAAATTCACTATCCCCAAAAACATATATTCTAAAAGATCAAAAGCTCCTGGGGGTAGGAAATTTTAGTATGTTCCAATGCTCTAGAACACTGGAACTTCTAAATACTTTACCACTTCATCCTGGAATAGGATTTAGCAGAAGGCATGGCAAACAGGTTCAAATTAACATTTGAATTACCCGAGTATTATTTTCGAAAATGACTCTCCATTAAAAGCCCTTAAAATATACATAACATTTCATCATGAATTCAATGAAATTTCAGAGCTCCTTCCTTACATTTTATTCTACCTCAGGGAGGAAGTGAAAGCCAAGGTTGTCTTCCTGATCAAGGTGGTAAAGAATTAATTACACCTGTAGGCAGTCCTTCCCAAATTAGTTTTTATGCCACTTCCATTTGCTAGCTTCCGACAATGAACTGACTACTTCCTACACTCCCTTTTGTGTGAAAAAGCTGACAGCTCAGCAAATATAGCCACTCTGAGTACCTACACTGTGAGTAAAAAAACTGAAATTAACCAGTGGCAACTCAACCATCTCAACAGATTTAACAAGGGCTTATCAAGTGTCTCCAGGCACCAAGCCCCACATGGGGCCCTGGGGAATGTGAGATGAGAAGGCAATGAATGTAAGGAGTCTCTGGGTAAAAGACGGAGTCCCAGCTCCAGTACCCACCTACAGACCTGGTGAGCGGAGACAAGTCATTTCTCCATACACGTCTATATTTTTGCCAGTAAGACAGAGACGATGATATGAAGGTACACTACACACTGTTGAATGCTGTGCCTTCAATTGCACATCTACTACGGGCTTTGACAAGCTCCTCCTTCATCACCGAAATCACTAGGGGTGTCTCAGAGGTGGTCCTCCCCCTTGCTCAGTGGCAAGTGGAGTGGGATTCCACACGACCCCGCACTGTGTACTCTGCTCTTTTGTGAAAGGAAACCACAGCTCTCCAGAGGCCATGCAGGGAAGGCAGGACCAGCTGTCACTGTCAGGAAGCACCGAAGTACTCAGAGGTAGGGCTACTGTTGGTGCCGGGGAAGGGGCAAGCTAAGAAGAGGGTTTGAGGAGGCCGAGCCCCGACAAGTTGAAGGCGCAAAGCAAGAATTGCATAACTTTGTATCCATCATCCAAATTCATACAACACATCTTTTCTGAGAGCCTACTATGGGCAAGGCACTGTTCTGAGCACTGGCTGTGGACAAACGTGGACAGACAACGTCCATCATCACAGAGCTCTCACTAACGAGGCTGTCTAGAAAGCTTGATCATTTAAATCGGGACAAGACATGTTTTTATGAAACAAAAACTCATTTTTATGAAACAAAATTCTGAAGAGGGCTAGAATAATCTTGGCGAATTTTTTAATGGTCACTTCTTGTTTCCCTGATCACCCTCGGAAGGGTTCCAGTGTGGTTAAAGCATCACTGTTACGAAATCAATGACTGCTACCACAACAAATCACTGGTAGGGCACTGAAATGACTAGCTGAGCTAAAGAGCGGCTTTTCAAATACTTACGTAGCAAGAGCAGAAGGGCAAGAATTATTAGCGCAATGGCTGCGGGTCCCAGGCCAACGTAGGAGTCCTGCAGGCGTTCCACGCAACCGCCGCCTTCCAGACACTTACAGATGGTGAGTTGAAGCACTTGCTTTTCAGGGCAACTGAGGCCCTGACTATCCGAAATCAGAAACTGAATTTCACGTCTTCCAGGCTTTAGTTCCTTGTGTTGCAGAAGCACACTGGTGCCTACAAGGGGAGGGGGGCAAATGGAAATAGAAATTCATGATCACCAAGGGAGGGGTGGATGGAAACATTCTTGAATTGCTGACAATATTTAGCTCCAGTGAGAAGCTTTATTCTTGCTTCTCGATTGAAGTCACACTGTGGGCTTGTTAAAATTACTCCAGATCCCCCCCAGGAGGCAAGTTGATAGCAAAGCACCGGGTCTGGAAGCATCTTTCTTTGATGATGATTAATTTTAACAAATGTGTGTGATGTCTACCAAATGCTAGAAACCATTCTAGGTACTAAGGATACAGTAACAAACAAGTGGGGAGTTAAATGACATTTCCGTTAAATGACCTTTATTGTACCATCTTAAAAAAAACTTTGTTAAGGCAATTTTCAAACAGACAATAATAGAAGAGTATAGTTAACCCACCCCCAGCTTTAGTAATTTTCAGCAACGGGCCAATCTCATTTCACGGAGTCCCGTCCTTTTTGTTCCCGACACTGTATCACGATATATCCAAAATTTTGAAAAATTTCACATCTACAGAAAAACTGTAAGAATATTACAATGAATTACAACCTACCCTTCATGATTTGTTTACATATGATAACAATATTTTCTTTTTTTAAAATATTATTTATTTATTTGAGAGACAGAACAAGAGAGCACAAGCAGGTAGAAGAGCAGAGGGAGAGGGAGAAGCAGGCTTCCCGCTGAGCAGGGAGCCTGACATGGGGCTTGATCACAGGAGCCTGGGATCATGACCTGAGCTGAAGGCAGACGCTTAACCAACTGAGCCACCCAGGCACCCTGATAACAATATTTTCTATCCACTCACTTTTTTCTGAACTATTTGAAAGTAAGTTGCAGATATTATGGTACACATATCAGAATATACCTTCTAAGACCAAGGGACATTAGTCCTCTCCAATAATTTAGTATTGATATAACCCACAGTCAAACTTTCAGCGTTGCAATAATGCCCTTTATAGTTTTCTACCTGTTTTGTTTTTTGGTTTTTTCCCTTGATTCTGGATTCAATCAAGAATTATGCATTGCCTTTAGTTGTCACTCTGATCTCTATGAATGATCTAGGTCAGTCCCACCTTTTTTTTTTTTTTTTTTTTTTTGCCATCAAGACTTTGCATTTCTGAGGGCCGCCTATTTCAAAGGATGCTCTGCAGTGTGAATTTGTCTGATTGTTTCCTCATGATTGGATTCAGGTTAGGTATTTTTGGCAAGAACATGACACAAAGAGTTCTATGAATGCAAGACATGTAGACTTGGATGAACACAAAGATAAAAATGAAGTGTTTGGGGTTTGTTTTGTTCATTTTTGGAAGTTAAAAAAATAGCCTCTTTTCATTTAGGGTCCAAATTTTATGGAATTTGATCTGCATAGCTAGAATATACTTATTAAATCATCCTCAAAGCTTTGGAGAAGGGAGAAAAGCATCTAGTCATTTAAAGGAGTAAGAACTCATGAAAAAAAAATCCATAAAAACATGGCCTGGAAGAACATAATTAAATTCATGATTGGCTCTAAGGCAGCAAGTCGAGAGGGGAGAAAATGCAAAGAGGACTTCAATTTTATCCATTATCATTTAAAAAAAGAGGTCTCATTCAAATATGAGAAATTGTTAATTCCTTTTAGGTGGTAGGTACATAGATGTCTGCTATATTAGTTGCTGGAATTTTCTGTGCTTTAAAATTTTCACAAATAAATAAAATAGATGAGAGTTATTTATTATCATGACATCTAGCCGATCACCTTATTATGTAACTAAGGAGAAGAAAATTGGTTTACAGAATCCTCTCTAAATTGTCTAGGTATGTAAAGTACAAGTCTTTATACTTTATAAGACTTCCACTTATAACACTCCAACATGCTTATCCTTAAGGGTTTCATGTTCCTAAGACTATGAAAAATTCAAGGACCCATCAAATTCAAACATCTTGATCTTTATATAGAAAATATATCTATGTATCCAGGCAGACTCCAGAGACAGACCATTTGGGTTCAAATCCTAGTTCCAGCTTTTAACTAGCTGTGACCTTGAGAATTTTTTTTTTTTAAAGATTCTATTTATTTGAGAGAGAGAGTGAGAGAGAGAGAGAGAGAGAGAGAGAGCAAGCATGTGTGCACATGAGCAGGAGCAGAGGGAGAGGGAGAAGCAGTCTCCCTTGCTTAGCAGGGAGCCTGAGGCAGAGCACAGTCCCAGGACCCTGGGATCATGACCCGAGCCGAAGGCAGACGCTTAACCCACTGCACCACCCAGGTGCTCCTGACCTTGAGAATATTAAGAAAACTCTCTTTGCCCTTGTTTCTTCATCTGTAAAATGTTGATGACAGTCGGGCCAAACTTGTAAGGTGATTGACATTAGTAGAGTGCTTAGGACAGTGCATGGCACCTCCCAAACATCATATGTTTCTTCGATAAAATAAGTAAGAGTCGGGGCGCCTGGGTGGCTCAGCGGGTTAAGCCTCTGCCTTCGGCTCAGGTCATGATCTCGGGTTCCTGGGATCGAGCCCCACATCGGGCTCTCTGCTCAGCAGGGAGCCTGCTTCCCTCTCTCTCTCTCTGCCTGCCTCTCTGCCTACTTGTGAACTCTGTCTGTCAAATAAATAAATAAAATCTTTAAAAAAAAAAATAAGTAAGAGTTGGAAACCCAGTAAGTTCAATGTAAAACATGTTTACACATCTTAGACAAAGAAAAGTCAACTCCAATCAAGCATTCAGCCTGGGTGGGAGTCCCAGGCTTCTGTGAGTACAGAATTAGAAACTGAAAAAGGACACCAACCACTTTTCAAGTTTTGAGGCTTAATTACCCTAAGAGGAATCATCTGGACGTCTGCCACCCAGGCCTCCTGCTAGCTGAAAACTTGATCTTAAGTAGCTTCTGTTAGTCAGGATGGTGACTGTCCTTCTCAGAGAGGAGGGAACTTTAGTCAACTGAGAGCATAATTATCCTCTGCTAGTGAGTACATAAACCCTAAGATTTAAAAATTAGTTATAGGATATTCAAGCAAATTAAAGATATGGTTTTAATATTTTTGTATCATATGGGAATTATTTGTAATCATTACTGTGCTTTTATACTTGCATCATTTTTAGGAAAATTAGCCCTGTTAACATGACAGCTTTGTAATTCCAATTTAAAATGTGTGATTATGTTACTGATTTGGCCTTGTAGCTGTTGGTTGAAATATCACTGGTTTGTTCAGTATTGGACCACTGAAGAGGGCTTCAGGTTCAGTGCATTTATAAGTCATATTTACTGGAATTTTAGAATACAGGGATCACAAGAAGTGAGACAAAGCATTTGATTTGTTAATTCAGATTGTTGACATACATAGGCAAAAAATGAAATATGCTAAATTTATAAACATAGTGTGAGACATTGAAAGTCTTTGTTTACTCTGTAATTTGTAATCAAAGCTTCTTAAAATGGTGATCAAATTCTGTCAGACTTAAAATAACAATAAATTTGTTGATTAAGAAAAGCTTGGGTATTATTTTTGAAACTTTCCTAAAATGAACACTAATTGTTTAAAACAAAATAGTCTTCTGGATAGTTCGTGGTATTCAAAACCACCCTGGAGAACACCCAGAAGCTCATATCAACAAGGGGCTATGTCTAAGACATGGATATACGCGCAGGGTCACCTGGAATGGGGAGGTCAGACAGGCCCTTCTTCATACTGTGTTTATCACTGACCAGTTTTGTGACTTTGAACAGCTACTTAATTCTAGTTAAGCCAAGATCCCTCAGCTGTAATCAGGGAATCATGTTATAGATTAAAGGATTAAATGCGATAATGCCTATGAGGCGCCAGCAGAGTGTCTAGGACTCAGGAAGTCATTCATAAATACTATTTTAATGGAATTGTGATCAGAGCTTAAGACTTTAGAAGGCATCTATTCTGCTGTGCTTAGACAAGCTACTCCTCACCTTACAGGCAAAACATAGTTCAGGAGCCACTTAGAGAATGCCCCGCTATCTTGAAGATATCATGTTGTTTCTCTTCTTTCCCTGTTCTATGACTCCAAATGGGGCATCTACTCTTGGCTGATGAAAGACACTATAGCTGAGCTTCAGAACCTCATTTTATAAGCTTCTGTAGAAAACTGTATCAGAAATATACTTTATGAAAAAAAGCACAGCCAGTATTATAACGATTTTAGATTTCTCTCAGATTCAATACTTAAATATATAGTCCACTGATTTTGCTTACTTTCTTGGTGTACTATTTGCCATTTTTCTGCCATTCCAGCCGGTTTGTCGATGATGGAGAAACTGAAAGGCCCACTGTTTTGGGACCCATCCAAGTCCTCTGCGGTCACATTCACGTACGGCACGTTGTCACAGACAGTCTGCACTGGGTCGACCAGTGTGGGACAGTGGTCATTGATGTCCTCCACTGTGATAGCAATGGTGCCAGTGATGGTTTTTCTTGGATAACCTTAAAAATGAGAAAGAATAAATATGAATATGCTGCCCCTATTGCTGACAACAGACAGTCTGAATTCTCTTTCCGGTTTGGTACGGAGAAGGTACTAACAAACTGGGGCACTTTCCATCCTATATATGTTTTAAGGTTCAGATCAAGTCATGTCTTTTAATCCGCTAAATGAGTAGAAATGTTAAGGTTTGTCCATGGGAGAGATCTGAGTTCCCTACAAGAACAAAATGAAGGTCTCGGATGTTCCAAAATAATACTTTTTTTAGTATTAAAAATACTAAAAAAACCCCTGGGGATAAAAATACATTATATGTTTATAAAAAAATAAAAAAAATTTAATAAAAAAAAAGAAAAAATCATAAGGAAGGGAGAGTACATTTGCAGTGCTGTATCAAAAAAAAAAAAATGTGTGTGTAAGTGGACCTGAGCTGTTCAAATCCATGTTGCTCCAAAGTCACATATACCATCCTGTCTGCTTAGTGGTCTTCTACATAACAATAAGCTGTTCCATTTAAAGAGGTATTTTATAAAATTAAAAATATTTGATATAAGTTAAAAAATACTAAAAAAGTACTTAGATACACATAATGAGAAGAAATACATATGTAATAACTTACTTTCAGATACTGCCAAAATCTTTGCAGTGTATGTACCATTTTGAACATATCTGGATTCAAAATCAGGAATTTTTACAAGTTTAATTTCAGATGTAGCAGGATTCACAGAGATCCAGTTGTCTCTATCTTCCAATTTTTCATATCTGTTATAAAACAAACATAAAAGTAATTCCCACTTCTGGATAAACTGATAATCTCTAATAATCTACAACTCTTTCAAGGTTAATTTTTGGTTCGTTCTCTATGTTCTTGTTATAGGCATTAGTTTGAAATCGTTTTAATTTCTTGCAACTGTCCTGAAAGCCTTCTCTCTTTACAGCCTATCACACTTATTTGGAACATTCCGTATTTCTGTAATGTACCCAAGACACATACAAGGGCGATCCTTTTTGCCTACAAATCTAGGAAGTTTGCAAGTTGCTCTTTAGTCTGTTCTACAGCCTTTGGTCTAGTCTCCCTTAAATTTGGGGTAAACCTCTGGAGAGTAACGTAGTTACCCAACAACAATCGGTGGAGGAAACGTATTTGCTACTTTCTTGCCTCTAATACTTTTTTTTCAGGAAAGAAGACAGGTTTAGACAGAAAAAGACAGTAAATTTCATTCGTAATTTTCTCTTTGTTGCTTTTCAGCTTTCTCTAGCGAGAATTACTTGGAGGTGAAACACCCAGTATCTGTCTCACACTCAGCTGGTGGAGGGAAGGTGGTCTGGGGGGAAATTTCTCCGTGATTCTCAGTTGCAGGTACAACTCTGGATAATTTAATCTCCAGACCTTTGGGGGCTGTAATACTGGGAGTGAAGGAAGAAAATGTTCAAATTTCATTATGATTTTTTGAAGACAGGCATTTAAAATCATTTAAAATAAGGAAATATATTCATAACTGTCTCTTACCTTACATGAGCTACTTGTCCAGTGTCTTCGTCAAAAGCTTGAAATTTTCCAATTATTTGGCCTTGGCTGGACTTATCCATGCTCTCGCTAACATGAACGGAGATTGTGCTACTTCTAAAATGAATGCCTTCTTTCACATTTTTCACCTTTACTTTGAAGGGAAAGGATGTAGGCTTATATTTATCCTTAACTGATTTGTGAAAAGCTGCTCTGTTGGTGACAGTAATGCTGAAATCAAGATTCTTTATTTCTTCATAATCTACTTCCTAGGAAGACAAAATCAAAGGAAATTCTTTCAAAAGAGAAAACAACTAGAACACGCATAGAGCATACATACACGTATAGTTTTAATGTTAGATATGACAATTTAACATATGCAGAATACATTAGCACTCAGTAATCTAACTCATAACAATACCAAGCAATTAAAAAGTCTGTCAGCTTGGATATTCATCAATGCTAAGGATGATTTAGGTTACATCCCCCATTTATCTTTTTAAAGTCCAGATCATTGAAAATATATTATATAGACACACACACATATTTAACAACCTGTTTCTTTTACTTTATTGAAAAAAGTTAATGGACATGTGATATAATATTCCTTAAAACGTGTTCTATGGGTTTGTTCTGGTGAAAAAGGTCACATGCCTAGTGGTAGCAGCTGGCTGTCCCCCTAGTATAGACTTCTACTGCACATGAGCATATCAAAAAGCTGAGACCTCCTGGTTGAACTTGCCTAAGCCCAAGGGTTTTCAAATTTATTTAAACAAAGAACCTATCCTCCACACCCTTTTTAGCATAATGTCTATCATCTGGTTTGCTATTAATGCCATAAAAGATTAACCTTCCTCCAAATCCAAATATTGATTCTTTGTGAACTGTGAAATTTGTAAAGTATATTTGATAGTCAGTGTATCACTGAATACATATTTTATGTTCCAATTTGTCCATTTTCCTTTTATAAACATTTCTACAGTATTCTACCATTTAGATGTATTTAGTTTACTTAACCATTTGATTATTAGGCATTTGGAGTATCTGTAATTTTTAAATATAATTAATACTGCTGTGAACATTTTTACACAAATCACTTTTCCTCTGTTGAGCTGTATTCCACTGTGAAAAGAAATACCTAGTCAACGTTTATTTAGGTCTTGTTGATTTTTATTTCTTGTGGTCCTGACCATTTAGACACAGGGGGGCATTTTTGCTTGTTTCTTTGGTATAATATTAAATGTATTACATGTGTTTAAATGAATTACTGCAAAGTTATTCACTTTGTTTTTTGACGACTTATTACAGAATCATTTTCTTCTCTGCAGGGTTCTGGATGGATAACACCTTCTGCCCTCTTTGTAAAATCAGCCACTAGGGTGCTGAGACAAGGATTCAATGGAAAACAACTAGAGACAATACAGTCTTTATGATTGTATGATCCTTGTGAGAGTTATCTTAAGCTGCCCTTGCACTTAACATGCTTGTTTTAATAGCGTGACATATGCTGGATGTGAAAGAAAATATTCCAGCCAGGCGTCATTAGTATTCAAAGACCATGGAAGGCCACAGCAATGCTAAAATATGAGCTAGGTACTAGGGCAATAAAACCTGTTTCATATAATAGCCATATATTATAAATAGCCACAGTTCTCCAGAGAGCATGAAAAAAATTTCCAGCATCATGAACAATGAATAAGGACAAATACCTCTCTGTTTCTAAAATGGTCAACATATTTTATCATTTCCATTTTTGCTACTTTTAATAGCATTTAAGAATTTAAATGTATTTGTTAATTTGTTAACAAAGCCTTGACTTTTCCTTATGTGATGAACTATTATCTGCATTTTCAGTTTAAAGTATCTGTTCCCAGGGTGCCTGGGTGGCTCAGTTGGTTAAGCATCTGCCTTCAGCTCAGGTCATGATCCCAGGGTCCTGGGATCAAGCCCTGCCTCAGGGAGCCTGCTTCTCCCTCTCCCTCCCCCTGCTTGTGTTCTCTCTGTCAAATGAATAAATAAAATCTTTTTTAAAAATAAAGTATTTGTTCTCCTTTATTGAGAACAGCCTTATTGAGGTATAATTTACATAGAATAAAATTCACCCATTATAAATATATAACATGATGATTTTTAGCAAGCCTATACAGTTTTGCAAATGTCACCACCATCCAGGTTTAGAACATGTTCATCACCCCCAAGAAATTCCTTTTTGCCTGTCTGTAGTCAGTCATCACTCACAGCTAGCCCTGAGCAACTAATGTCTATATCCATTGTTTTGCTTTTCTAGAAATTTCACAGAGAAAAAATCATACAATATGTAGTATTTTGTGTCTGGCTTCTTCTACAAAGCATGGTTTTGAGATTCATCTGTGTAGTAGCAAGTATGAGGACTCCATTCCCTTTCACTAACCAAGAATATTCCACTATGTGGATATACTGCATTTTATCTGTTTATCAACTGAAGGGCATTTTATTGTGACCAGTTTTCGACTATTATGAATAAAAGCTGCTTGTAAGTTGCATAGAAGTTTTTGTATAGATATACTTCTTTCTGGACATGCAAATGTTTTATTAGTATTTAGTGTACAATGTAGGGATTTGACAATTCTACACACTATGCAATGTTCACCATGATAAGTGGTTACTACTGACATCGTACAAGTTATTACAATATATGTTTTTATTTTTTGTGGGTGGATACCTAGGACTAAATCTCTGGTCACCAACTCCTTGGTGTTTAACATTGGAAAAAACTGCCAAACTAGCTGTATCACTTTATGTTTTCACCAGCAAGAGAGAGGAGTTCCAGTTTCTGCATAATGTTGCCGATGCCTGGAGTTGTCAGTCCTTTTGATTACAGCCACTTACGTAGAGGCATTGTGCTATCTCTTGTAGTTTTAATTTGCATCTGCCCTAATGACTAATGATATTGAGTATCCTTTACTTCCATATTTGCTAACTATATATCTTCTTTGTCTAACTTCCTTTGAATGGAATCTGATGATTGCTCTTAAAATTTGGAAGCAATTCTTCATATAATTGAGACAGGAAATTTATAATTTTCTCAGTCTGCTGTGGTCACTTTAATACTAAGTGTACTATTTTTTGCTATGCCCCCTTTGGCATAGCATCCCTTGTTGTGCTACCATGGTAGAGTGAGAATACTTCTAGAACTTCTATCATTCATCACTGACTTTCTCCTTATGTGTTATTGGCTTTTTGTCTTAGGCATCTAGCAAGGTTATACTCACATTCTATGACTAAGAGGATTACTTACTTCTTTATAAATAGGCAAATTTATGTGAATGGCACCAATCTGATGCTATTATCCACTTCTTTCATAATCATAAAATGTGTCTTCCCTTTAAGCACGAGGTAATCTTATTCTATTTTCCCTTGCTTTACAAAGTGGCAATCTAAGTAAGTGCATATAATAGCTTATTAATAAATGGTACACATAATTATTACCATGAAAATTCAAGTGAATATTTCTCTATTCTGTTATATATTTATATTACCATTATTCCTCTTCCTATGGTTAGACTTTACCTACTCTTTCATATACTAATTTTTAGTATATTTAGAACTTTGGGAATCAACTTTTGTCTGTGTGTGATTAATGGAATAGTATTTTAGGAGCTACAGCTTTGCATTTTATTTCAAAATCTGATAAGGCGATTCTATCATAAGCAATTTAAAAATACACTGATATTCTTTCTTACTTATAATGTTAGATAAAAATCCATCCTATAATTATAATATTTGCTTTAAAAAAATTCTGTGGGGGGGGTAATAAATTTCAAATGTATAAGACCCATATGCTTAATAAGACTATTTTTCTTTCACTGATTCAATTAAGCACAAGAAGTTAGAATACTGGGTTTCAAAATGTGACCCTCATACTAAACATTAGAATCACAAGTGGATTTCTGTTATAAAGGCAAGTTCCTGAGCTCCATCCTATCAGACTTGATTATAGGGCCCAGGAATCTGCATCTGGGGCACGTAATTTTACAAGGTGACTCTTAGGCATACTGAAGCATAAGGACAACTGGATTCGAGCTTTGTCAAGTAATTATAGCTTTAGTTTTTACACACTATTGGTGAGGTCTGGCTTTACGATAAGTTGATCAATAAAGACATAGTAAATTGGGGATACTTAGTAGAAGCAAGAGGTCATGAGGTAAGGATGCTCTAGTCAGACATGGGTTGCAAGCAAGACGGGAAGTGTGTTGAGCAATAATGATTCTGTAACATGTTGTCAGATTAGGGTTCGAGTCCCCTGATCTGAATTTGGACTGTAGTGCGACCATTTACTAACTATAGAACTTTGGCAAATAGGGGGGTCTCCAATCTCAAACAATTGTGGTGTCAGTTGAGTATGTAAAGCACTCTTAAGTGTTTGAGGCTCAAAATACAATCATTTCTTCCTCTGCACCAATTTTTCCCATTCCAATTTTGAACACGAAATACTTACTTTAATAAGAGTCACAATTCCTTTATTAGTTTGAGTGTCAGTTTCTATGTGGAAATAACCCATTTCATTTCCTGACACGAACGTAAAATTTGCTAACCAATTATCAGAGCCTATTTCATCTGCATCAAACACGTCTATGTGCATCACTGTTACATTGGCTTGATTTTCTTCAATTAGCATTTCAGTCTGCAAAACATGAACATAGGGTTTTTATTTTAGTGTAACACAAATGTAATGATATATTTTTAGGTAAGACTAAAATACGAGTAAGTGAATACATCTGTTATAAAAATAACGGTTACCATTTCATTTTTGACTATAGGTATGTTGTCATTGACATCCAAAATACGAATCTGAACTTGAGCTTGATTTACTGGTTTATCTGTTATTTGTCCATTGCCGTCTCTTGCTTCCACTATCAAAGTATAGCTGCTGTGTTCCTGCAAGGCAATGAAAAATATCCATCTGGGGTGAAAATGAGTCACTCCCAAATCTGTCTTTCTAGTTCATTTCATCATCAAGAGAATGAACCACAGTATATTTTATTCACAAATACATTTTATGATCTGTTATTCATGTGAAGATGCTGTTTATTTGCCGTCAGAGCATTTCTAGAGGCCAGAAAAAGCCTAGAAAAGTTGCTGGTAGTCAAATTCTTAAATGTGTCATTGGCGACATTATCAGGAAATGAGTCTCTCCTTAAAATAGTCTGTGTGCAAGGAAGTGCCATTCAAAATGCAGTCTGCTCTACAAGAAAGTGATTGGGGCAGGGGTGACTATAGTAGGAATTGGTTCTTCATTTTTAGCTAAGATTTAAGCAAGGAAAACCTAGTCCCCAAGAAAACTTCGCCTGTGAGGAAAAAAACGTGGTTGACTTTGTCCAGACTTTCTGAGAGCTATGATTCTTAGAGAACCTATCTTGGAGAATGGTGTCTCACATGCCACTCCAAAGTGAGCTCTTCTCTTCCCCACGGTACCCTTATGATGGCTCCATTCGGTGTAGCTGGAGTGTAAGAAAAAGCAGGGGCAGCCAGGTCCAGTGCATGGGGGTCCTGTGTGGGACAGAACCGCCCAGTGCGAGTCAGGACAACTGAGGCCCCAGAGCCAGTTGCTTGGATTCTAATTCTGACTTTGTCACTTACTAGCTGTGTTGTAAATACACTTAATCCTTCTGACCCTTGGTTTCCTTCTGTGTAAAATGTGGATAACAGGGAGGACCTGCCTCACAGAGTTTTTAGTTGGATTAAATGGATTGATCTATGTAAAAGGCTTCGAATAGCACTTGGCACACCGTAGATGCCCAATAAGTGACAGGCATCGTTATTGGCTAAACTTGCCCTATTTCAAAGACAGACGCTTATCACAAATCAGGATAGTTAAAAATAATACTTTTCCATTCTAATTTTATGTGAAAAGGTACGGAGTAGACTTTTAGGAATAATAATATTAATTTTATAGAGATCCAGTCAGCGATGTTGGGCACAATCTTCTCCTTCTCTGGGCAAAAGGAAATGATTTTCCCAAGCAATACAAAATACAGTGACTGCGCCCGGACGATGATTTACGTCTGGTGACAATACAGCGTTCTTAGGATCATCCACATTCTCCTCGTGCACACTGTTAAAACCTTTATGTATGTAGCATTTAAAAAAACCTCCCATCTCCTGTTTTGATCCAAAATTTTCCCTTTCAGTTAGAAATAAAAAAGTGAAATGTTTGAGAATAGCCTATCCAGGAATCCTATTGAAAATTTCCTCCAATTTGGGATTTACAATTCCTTCCTTTATGACTATTTCTATTATCCCGATTAGGACTCCTGTGTCAGTCTCTGTTCTGTATTAGCAATAGAGGAGACTCCCGATGCTTCATTACAGAAACACAAATTACAGAACATTGCTTTACGATGCTATCGCAAACAGAATCCTGCCTGGAGAGGCCCCAGAACAGAGCTGTCCTTATGTAATTTTAAGTTTCCTAACAGTCAAATTTTAAAAAGTTTTCAAAAAAGGTGATACTACTAATTTTAAACAAATACATTTTATTTACCCATGGGATCTAAAATATTATTGTGTCCACATGCAATCAACAGAATATTACTAAGGTAAAATGTTACATTTTTTATTCAGGCTAAGTCTTTCCAAGTTGGTGACTTTTTTGTATTTATAGCACATCTCAGTTTGGATGAATCACACCTTAAGTGATCAATGGCCACAGATGGCTCATGTGATATCGGGTTGCACCTTGCTAGAAGAGGGTATTTGTAGGAGTTATCCTATAAATGAAGAATATACAAGATAGTAAGCTAATGAGAAAATAAATTAACAGAAAGGAAAACCTAGAGATATAAAAAAGGGTTTCAAAGATGAGCAACATAAAATACTAACTTAGCATTTAAAAGATGAACAACATAAAATACTAAGTTACCTCTCTGTCCAAAGTAAAACTGGTTGTATAAATCTCCCCTGTGTCTTTATTTAAGTAGAACACTGGAGGATAAGCAGGCTCCTGAGATACAATTCTGTAGGAAATTTTAGAATTCGGAGTATTGGGCTCATCTGCATCTGTTGCACTGATTTTCATCACAAGGGTATCTGGCATTAGAAACAAAGGCGTCCAAGTTGAAACTCAACTTTAAGCACAAGTCATGTATGTTATTATTCTCTTTATAATTTCAGCCTGTTCACAAAAGGATTTTAAGTGCTTATCAAAATCACAGCTTACCAAGATGAAAAACTTTTTTTTTTTTTTTTTTTTTAAGATTTTTTTTTTTTTTTTTTTAGAGAGAGAGAGGGAGAGAGAGCAAGCACAGGCAGACAGAATGGCAGGCAGAGGCAGAGGAAGAAGCAGGCTCCCTGATGAGCAAGGAGCCCGATGCGGGACTCGATCCCAGGACGCTGGGATCATGACCCGAGCCGAAGGCAGCTGCTTAACCAACTGAGCCACCCAGGCGTCCCCAAGATGAAAAACTTTAATTGGATGAGAAAGTAAGTGTGAATGGGTGCAGAAATAAGAAAGATAAGAAGAGGGCAAGGCTGCAAATTTATTTCTAATAGCTCTAGCGATCAATACAAAGAAATAAGGATGAACAGGTACAAATACATGCTTAGTAAAATACAAACAATTCAGGAGAAGAACAGCTGTTCTCTAGATTATGATCAAAGAGAAATCTCTCCTGCAAGCCTTCACATGGACTACTGCATTGGACCATGTTATCAATAAACCTGACAAGAGACATAACATAAGCCAAAGGTCAGTGAACTACTGCTAACCAGCACAGTCACCTGTTTCTGTATATAACATCTTACGGCAACATAGCCACACCCATTTGTTTACATGTTGTATAAGGCTGCTTTCCAGCTAGAAGGCAGCATAGTGGCTACAGAAACCTAACCTGTTCCATCCATCTGCCTATCTGTTTTGAGGATAAAAAAAAAAAAAAAAAAAGATACCATGTAAAGCCTTTAGAACTTGTCACAGAAAAAGCGGTTGCAAACCTAGAGTGATAGGTTTATTACCATGTGTCCTGTGGGTCTCCATCAAGATATATGATTTAGTGTTCAGTTACATAATGGGGTTAAAATGACGGGGTGGAGGGATACTCATTCATAAAATTAACAAACTCTGACCTGCAGCACTCAACTCTTCAATAGACCCAGCGAAGACGTCCTGTGTGAACACTGGCTCGTTGTCATTGATATCAAGAACTTTAATGCGGAGTTCTAATGGTTTCTCAAGACTGTTTCCTCTTTCATCCAAAGCATAACCAACTAGCTGAAATCATGACATAAATAATAGAAGAGATTAAATGTAAGCTAAGGTAATTAAATTACTACAATATAAAAACAAATCATAACTACTACCAAAGAAAAACTATAAACTAATTAAAGTAAAATAATTCTTCCTACCAGAAAACTTGGTGTTTCTTCTCGATCAAGAATCCTGGTGATGTTCAATTCTCCTGTGTTTTTATTAAAGACAAACACGCCCAACGGTGACTCTGTGATCCCTTTTCCAGTGTATCTGTATGTAACTTTTAGTCCTCTTTCTTCTGCAAGATCAGAATGTATCTAACACAAAAATAACAGAAGAATGCCCCAAGTTAAACTCTCTGTAACTTACATGCACATATTTTCAATGGAAAATTTCCCTCCAAAGTTGTCATAATGTTGATAGGAAGAAGGGAGGACACAAGCACTCAAGAGAAGATGTGCTGATGTCAGAGAACCTGGTTCAAATCCTGTCTCAGCCACTTACTAGTTACCTGATACTAAGAGTTACTTAACCTCTCTGTGCCTCAGTGTTCCTCTCACTAAAGTGGAGAGATATTACGGCCTACCTCTTACTAAGTGCTATAAAACTAAGTTATCGTTAGGGGTATATCTTGGGAGGACAGATTTTTAAATTTAGCACATGAGGAAGGGCACATGGGTGGCTCAGTCAGTTAAGCTCTTGATTCTGGCTCAGGACATGATGTCAGGATCATGAGTTTGAGCCTGGTGTTGGGCTTCACGTTGGGCTTCATCCATGTAACACATCTGCTTGAGATTCTCTCTCCCTCTCTCTCTGACCCTCCCCGCCTCTTGCAGTGTCAAAATTACCTCTATAAATCCATTCGATCATCTGGAAAGGATGAATAAGGCATCCTTCTATAGAAGTAATTAAAAAAGTCAAGTGCCTTTCCTGCTTAGAATGTCTCAAGAAATTCATGCATCTAACCCATTTCAAATGCCTTCTGTAGTCGTCATCTTCTTTTTCTATAAAAACTTCATTCCTGTCTGTAATTCTTACTTAGTAAATGGGTCTCTGTGGCCCCCTATTGGTTCTTTATTTTCTTCTTCAGACATCACAGAAGCCATCGCCATTCACCTACCTGGTCACTTCTTTGTCCTGAAATCTCGGGATAGTTACACTTCCTTCCTATAGATTTCCCAACATGCACTAGGGCTGGGGAACAGCTGCTGAGAATGACCAAGGAGACAGCAGACAGGGGCTTCCAACCTCCTGCTACACCAGCTCTGCTCCTGGAGTGGAATGGTGAACCTGGGGCAGTCCATGATTACCTTTCACTGAGCTTCTGTCTCTGTTTATCTTTCTCTTTATCTTCTCTCTGTCTCTGTTTTTTGCCAAGTATATGCATATGTATATAAAAATGTATATATATATGTGTGTGTGTGTGTATATATATATAGTATTTCTAAAGAATTCTAGATCTTCATGTACTAATTATATATTACATCACTCTATTTAGGTTAAAAATAAAGCAAAACTGTGTGTGGACATAACTGTTGGTTTGTTTATATATATGTATATACTTAAGAGTATGTAAGTATACACATATTTATGAATTTTTTAAGATTTAGAGAATATTACACTGTTGACAGTATTATCTCTACATAGACAATTTGGAAAGTTGAGGAAATTTAATAAGATCTTTTACTTTTTATGTAATTTCTACATATGTAACAACTTTTTATGTAAATTTTACATATGTAACCATTCATGTAATTAAAATTACTAAGAATAACTAATGCTTATTGAATCCCAAAAAATCAATGCAGTTTAGAAAAACTTATTGAGAAAACGTATGAATGACTCAAACACCTCAGAAAACCAAACCCAACCAGCAAACTTAGTTGCTTATATACATACTATTATGTAAAGCCACAATTAAAAATTTGGATTTTAGAAGACTTTTATGAAAAGAACATGTTGCTAGAGAGAGGAAATCGTCTTCTGTAGCTGCCTTTCCTTTGAAGGAGCTCTTCATGCATGATATTTATAATGTTGGAAAGATAAACTTGGATATGAACATGTATTCATTCACACAAATGTTTGCTGAGCCCCCAATGGATGTTGGCACTGCTTAGGGTACAGGGCATGAGCTGTGAGCCTAAGAACTAAGCTCTTGCCCCCTGGGAGCTTACACTCTACCAAAGGAGCCAGACAGCAAGTAAGCAATGTATGGCATGGCATAGAGTGGAATGCACTATAACCAGGCTGAAATGGGAGTCAAGGGATAGAGAGATGGGGTGAGGCAGAAAAGGCAACAAGATCTTTTAGGGGATGACACTTGGGCAGAGGCTTGATGCTATGAAATACTGCAGGTATCTGTGGGGAGGGGATTCCAGGCATAGGAAACAGCAAGGGCAAAGGGTGAGTAGCTGGGAAGAATTTGTGTTGGTTTAGGGATCTAGGAGAGTGGGAGATGGGGGGTGATAGGAGCCAAGGTTGGAGAGGAGGTCTTGTATTAGCACTCTTACAGGTCATAGTAAAGAACATTCCTTCCATTGCAGCAGGAAGCCATTGAAATGCCTTCACTAAGGGGGTGAACATGCTTTGATTTGTCTTTTATTTAAAAGATCACTCTGGCTGCTTTCTAGAGAATGGGCTGTGGCAGGGTGGGGGATGGTAAAAGCGAAGCAGACAGACAAGGTCAGGGGTTCTTCTGCCAACGCAGTGCAGAGATGACACTGACTTGGATGATGGGGGTGACCATGGAGAGAAGTGAGCAGATCTGGAATATATTCTGGAGGTAGAACTGATAGTACCTGCTACATTTTTGAAAAACTGGATAGAATTATGTGCCATTGACTGAAATGGGTAGAACTGACAGCTTGAGGGGAAAAAATCAAGGGTTCAGGTGTGCACATGCTAAGTTTGAGATACATACTAGCTGGATTACCATCTAATTTATAAAAAAATATGCCACTTTGAGAGTGAAAGAGGGTAATTAATTATTAGGCCAGGACAATGGGTACCCTTCAAGATGTATGGTCACCCTCCCCATTAGATACCAGTTCTTTTCATTTTGAAAATTACTTTTTGTATGTAGGGTGGCAGAATATGCCATCCCCAAATGTGTCACTTTGGTGTAGGATTATTTTGAGCAACTGAAAAGCAGATTCAAGAAAAGTTCTCTGTCTTTCCCCTACGTGCCTCAAAGCCGGCCATAAATTTGTAAAGGTGTCTTCCCTCCCTTCTTTACCAGGAAGGACAAAATTTAATTATCAGAGACAACTTTAGACCCTTATCAGCTTAGAGATGGCACTGGGGTATCCACATAAGTAACTGTATTAACTAGCCTTTCCCTATCACTTGTTCCCCATAATTTTCCACCCGTAGAGATTCAAGGACCTTTTCCTTTGTCTTGTGACTTCTCTAAAAGTTTACTGTTGCTTTGCTAAGATGTTTTATAGGCCCCAATTCTAACCAGACCTTTGAATTATTCATCCCTGGGTACTCCCATGTGTTATAGGAGCAGTACACACATTAATAGACTTCTTTGTTATTCTCCTGTTAATCTGTCTTCTGTCACTCCAAATTATAGGGCACCAGTCAGAGAACCTAGTGAAAGAATCTTTCTTCCTCTACATATAACACCCTCTTTTGAGTACAGTGGCCCTTTCAATTAAAGAAAGATTGAACTAGTGTCAGATCTCTGACTCTTAGGTGAATTGAAGCCCCAAATTGTATAATCCAATAGAATATTAAGACTCAGTAGGTACATTGTATCATTTTCCTTAAATTTAAAAATGAACATAAAAGTCTTCTCCCACTATATTTCAGTAATATACATTTATTTCCTATTTTTCTGTAGAAGGTACCTTGGCGATCGGATTCCTTTTGGACAGATCCTCTCCTTCCCGAAGAACCACAGGGGTGGTGATCCAGGACCGCTTTTGCCGCACTAAGTGAGTGTGTTTAGGAAGCAGAGTATGTTCATTTCCTGGGTTTAAGACCTACAACAATAAAATATTGTCAAAAAAATTATTAAGTATCCTAAAACACTATGGTATTCTGTAATTTATTAAGACTTTAAAAATAGTTATGCAAATCTTAAGGTATACATATCTTATTTCTTAACAGGTTTCATTTTCAAAGAGGAAGTATGTACACTCTGACAAACTCCATAGGCATTCAGGAAATCGTCTCTAAACCAGTAGAACAGCACGGTTTTGCTTTTATCAGTTAGAACAGATTTCCCAGACTGAAGAGTAAAAAAGGCTTATTACAGTGTCCAGACTAAGACCCAAGATGGAGTCGCCCACGACAAGCCCTGCATTAATACATGGGAACCTAACTAAATTTCTGTGCTTGGCCTTCCCAGAAAGGAAGGCCTAGGCAAGCAGTCAGCACTGACCTGCTCAGGACCTTATCTCATCTGCCCCAGCTCCAAAGTGACTCTGCTCTACCCAATCAACAAATACCCAGTGTAACTTCCTATTCTTGCTGGCTTTGGTCTATAAAACCCTCTTGCTTTGTACAACTGTTTCCTAGACTGGATGCTTCCCTATTCATCAATCAATAAAGCCAACCAGATCTTTTCAAGATTTATGATCATTGGGTTGTTCTTTTAACAGCCTAGAGTAATTGAGTGACCATACAAATTGGCAAATTAAAAAATAATAGTGTGTCAAAAATTCTTTCCTTACTGAAAATGAAGTTTCATTTTTCTGTGGTGGTTTATAGTTTAAAAATGAATTACCCAATGTTTTAAAACTAAATCTTAGTAACTAACCTGTGATATCAATTTAACTAAAACCTAGTGAAATTGTCAGTTAATGAATTTATTGTTTGAAGGATGATGTAAAGGATTAAATTATCCATCTTTTGTTCTCAAGAACTTTGAGTAGAAAAGATTTATTCTATATATTTTCAGTTGGGCTTTACAGAAAAACATTTATGCAAGGAAAATTTCGATACAACTGACCTAGTATACTAAGATCAGAAATCATTTTTATACTAGATTTATCATCTTATTTTGTTGCTCTACATAACATTTTTTTCCCAGAAATAATGGTTATCACTAGGTCATTATTTTTTGTCTTATTTTTAGTTGAAAACAAATTATGTAACAAAACAGCAAAATAACATTATAGTTTACAGTGTAAAATTAAAACTTTATTCTACTTTTTCTCTCACACTTCAGTGTATTCACTGGTAACTGCTTGATCATCTTATCTTATGACCATACAGTTGCACATGTATAAAGCTCTTTGCCCTATAAAAATGGAATTATACCATACATCTTATTCTGCCCCTTGATCTTTCATTCAATACCTCATCATGGACATTCTTCATGTACCGTAAGTTGTTTTACCATTCTATCAATGAACATTTTGATTGTCACAAAATACTGCATTGAACATCTCTGGATATATGTTCTGTGCACTTGACTGAGTAGGAATGGCTAAGTCTAAGGGAGTGTACATTTTTAATCTGGTAAGGCATAGCCAAATTGTCTTCCATTAAATTAAGCCTCTGAGTTCAAAAGACAGAAACAATCCCCTCGGTTCCTTACCTCTAAATGGAGTCCATTTCCAAAGTTAAAGAAGATCTGGAAAATAAGATCATTTATTTGTTGTTTAGTTTATCACTCAATTCGGTTTAAATACTTGTTAATAACTTACTACCTAAAATAGTATAAATATTAAAAAAAAAAAAGGTTTAACCACCATCATTAGTATCCTCCTTTGTTAAAAAAAAAAAATTAATTTTCCCTTTTGTCCACCACCACCTCCCCTCATGACCAGGGCCAGAGATAGGAATCTACTTCTTGATCCACACTGCCTCTTCCAGGAACACAACTAATAGTTGAAAAACAAAAACAAGAATGCTCCATCCTGTGTTCTCACGGACCCACATAACTTTCCCCAAGGCCTTTAATGGAAATGCACCCTCCACTCCTGGCTCTGCTCCATCATTTCCAGGGTCACCCACATGACTGTCCACATTCAGATTTCACACTTAAATCTCACCAATTCTTTTCTTGGTTCTTTTTTTTTTTTTTTTTAAGATTTTTATTTATTTATTTGACAGACAGATATCACAAGTAGGCAGAGAGGCAGGCAGAGAGAGAGGAAGGGAAGCAGGCTCCCCGCTGAGCAAAGAGCCCGATGCAGGGCTCGATCCCAGAATCCTGGGATCATGACCTGAGCTGAAGGCAGAGGCTTTAAGCCACTGAGCCACCCAGGTGCCCCTCTTTTCTTGGTTCTTATCAAGCACTGTCACACTTTGGGATTAATCATCACACATAACTAAATACAGTTATTCTTATTCTAAAACCTGCACAATGGGAGGCGCCTGGATGGCTTAGTCAGTTAAGCAGCCAACTCTTGATTTTGGCTCAGGTCGTGATCTCAGGGTCATGAGATCCAGCCCTGCCTGGGGGGTCCATGCTCTGTGTGGAACCTGCTTAAGATTCTCTCTTGATCTGCCCTTCTCCCACATCTTCTCTCTTAAAAAAAAAAAAAAAAAAAAAAAAAATTAAAAAAAAATCTGCACAATAAAATCTTATCTTGCCCTCTGGCTTTTGCTGCCCTTTCTTTTTTTAAAAATTTAAACTCAATTAGTCAACATACAGAATATTCATTAGTTTCTGATGTAGATTTCATTAATTCACTAGTTGCATATAATGCTCATCACATCATATGCTCTCGTTTTTGCTTGTCACTCAGTCGCCCCATTCCCCCATCCACCTCCCCTTCAGCAACCTTCAATTTGTTTCCTATAGTTGAGAGTCTCTCATGGTTTGTCTCCCTCTCTGATTTTTTTCCCATTCAGTTTTACCTCTCTTCCCCTACGATCCTCCATGCTATTTCTTATATTCCATATACAAGTGAAACCATGTAATTGTCTTTGTCTGATTGACTTATTTCACTCCTGCTGCTCTTTCTTTTCAGTCCAATAATCTCTTGATTTCACTCTTCCCTTGGCTTAATTTAAACCAATTTTTTTTAAAGATTTTATTTATTTATTAAAGAGTGCACGAGCAAGGGGAGGGGCAGAGGGAGAGAGAGTGGGAGAAGCAAACTCTGCGCTCCGTGGGGAGCCCATCTCGGGTCCTGATCTGAGGACCTGGAGATCATGACTCGAGTGGAAGTCAGGTGCTTAACTGACTGAGCCACCCAGACACCCCTAAACCAGTTCCTTCTAACATGGTAGCCTCACGTGGCTATTTACACTTAAATTATTTTTAATTAATAATTCATTTGCTCATTATCCACATGAGGCAAGTGGCTTGAAAACATTCCCAACACTGTAGACGACTCTACTAGACAACGCTAGTAGAGTATTGTCAGACATTCCAAAGACATTTGTCAGTGACTCTCAGACCCCTCATTCTCTTGACTTTCTAATATTACTGCCTCACTTTTTCCCCAACTCTGTGAGACTGTTAATCTCTTTACTTCTGGCCCTATACTGGCAACAATGCTAGACAGGGTCTTAGAGGCTGAATGGACCCATACATCCATTCACTTTCTAATAGCTGCTCCCTCCACAGAGGTGGTGACTTCTTTCTCTGGTGACCATGTGTTTACTTTTGCCCAGGAGAATCCGGATGGCGCCTGCTGTGTGGGCATGTGGCCATCCCACCTGTATATCTCCTTCAATCTCAAAAGTGTGCTCATTCAGACCATAAATTGTATAGTTGCCTTATCTTTGTATAGTAGCCCTATCATACCATTCCACACTTCAGCAGACGACCCCCATGGCATGGACCACACCTCTGAACCCACTCACTCTTAGATGACCCCACTTTTTATCTGACTGAGATTAAAATATTAATCCACTCTGCTTTTCTAACCAGCTCTCAGGGGATGCTGACATGCTGGTTCTTGAACAGCAAGGTTATAGAATGTGACAGAGTATCAGTTGTTCGTTTAAAGACAATGAAGTTCGACTTGTTCATTGCCGTCTCAGTATTGACACAAGAAACGTTGTCATTCTTAATTACTAATATGTAATGCAGAGAATCTTGTATTTCATGCATTTAACATTAAACAATTTTAACTGCAAATAGATATAAAAGAAGAGTGAATGGTACAATGACCATCCACAAAACAACACCTAGTTCCAATCATCTGGATGGATTTTTTAGGGGTACCTGGATGGCTCAGTCAGTTAAGTGTCCAATGCTTGATCCCAGCTTGTGTCTTATCTCAGCGTTGTGAGTTCAATCCTGCACTGGGCTCCACACTAGGCATGGAGCCTACTTAAAAACAACAACAACAACAACAACAACAACAAAAACAAACCCACAACTGTAAAAAAATAAAAAATATATTTTTGAAATTTAGGGACTAACATTAAATTTACACAAATGTTGCGAAGGTAGTACGGAGCTCCCTTACCCATTTCCCCCAATGACATTTTAAATAACTATTGTACACTTGTCAAAATTCAGAAAATGACATTGGTATATTTATTTATATAATGCAGAGTTGGCTAAATTCCAGACTTTACCCAGATTTTATCATTCCCCCCTTTAATGGTCCTTTCTCTGTTCCAGCCTTCATTTAGGAACCCAGACTGGATCTGGAATGTCTCCTCTGGTCTGTGACTGTTTTTCAGTCCGTCCTTGTGGATGATTCTGGCAGTTTTGATATTGGCCAAGTATCCTATAAAATGTCCTCCAGTTTTGTTTTAACTGTTGGTTTATTTCACGATTAGATCAGGGATGTGTTTTTGGAAAGAACACCATGGAGCTATGAAGTGCCCTTGTCATCACATTACATCAGGGGTAAATGATATGCATTCGACATTATTGGAGAAGGTAGACTTTGCAGGTTTCTCCACTATTAAGTTATCACTTTTCCCCTTCCCTACTCTATTCCACACAAGTGAGTCACTAAGGCTAGCTCATCTTTCGGCTGGGGACTGGGGGAGGAGAGAGACTAAGTGTCACTTCCTATGACAGACATGTATACATATTACTTGGAATTCTTTGGCAAGAAAGCTTTGTCTCTTCTTCCCTCATGTCTTTATCTGTTTAATCATTTATATCAGTATAATCATTAAATAAAAATATTTATTTTATTCTGTGCGTTGTAAACCAATATTATTTTATTAATTTTGTTCAAATAGTTCCAGCTTTGGGCACTGGAAGATCTTTCAGGTTAGATTTTGTTCCTACGCTTGACATGTTCCCATCTTTCTGTTTTTTTTAACTCTTCCCTACTTCTAGCATCACAAGATGCTCCAGGGTCATCTTATACTTCTCCCATCCCAGCTTTATAATGAGCCATTTCTCCAAGAAGCCCTGATTTCTAATATGGGAGGATGGTATTGAGAAGGACACACATTACACACATTGCACACAGATGTAGCACACACATTACAAAATTGTTCCCTGTCTCTGTTACTTTTTTTCAGGGGAATAATAAAGGTAGAGCTTTTCTTAACTTGGTTATTACAAAAGAGACTGTTTTAATCTTTGGGAAGTGGTATCACCTGGTGGAAAGTGTATGACTTTGCAAATAGTCATACCTAGATTAAAATTCCAATTCTGCTCAATAAATTGCTTTAATCTGTTTCCTTATCTGTAACATAATACATGGGTGGCAGACATTTTCAATTGTATGGCTAATTGCCATTTCCTGCCATTTTAGCATTGACTGAACCCCATTTTGTTCAGGTAGCAAGTAGACCCTGCTAGCTGAGTAATGACTGGTATATGCCAAAGCATCAGTCTCATTCACTTTGATGGTGACTAGGCATAAATGTGTGTATGAGTCAGTTAAGGCTGCCATAACAAAATACTATGGATTGTGTGGCTTAACCAACAGAAATTGGTTTCTTATAGTCATGGAGGCTGGAAAGTCCAAGATAAGGTACTGGTTGGGTCAGTTCCCAGTGAGGGCTCCCTTCTGACTTGTGGAGAGCAGCTTTCTTGCTATGTCTTCACACGAGGAGTAAGAGCTTGAACTTGAGCTCTCATGTCTCTTCTTATAAGGGCACTAATCCCATCACCTTGGGAGGTAGGGCATCAATACGGGAATTCAGGGCAGGGAGGAGGCAGGGGGAGAAGAACATTCAACCTATAACAATGTGTGATAGAATTCTGGCCTATGAGATAACTGGAGAGTCTGGAAAAGACTTTCCTCATTGATGGGAAGAGATGCATATGCATAGCCTCTCTTTTTATCTGCTTCTGGAGATTGTAGAGCAATCTCATGACATTTGGAATGGAGCCATCTGTGACTACATGGAGAGAGCTGATAAAATGGCAGAGAAACGAGACTGACACTGTAATATCTTTGAGGTACAAAATTGGTCAAAATCAGAGCCACCCCAACTCTGGACCACTTTTTATTATATTAAATATTCTTTTTGTTTAATCTACTTTCAGTTGGGTTTTTTTTTACTTGACTCTGAAAGCAACATGATACACCCAGGTTGCAGACTTATAGTGCATATTAAAAGAAATAATATAGGACTATAATTATTGCAGTGACTGGCATATAGTAGGCACCCAATAAATAGAACTATGATGGGATTTCCTTAATTCTATGACTTGCATTCTCCTCATCTTAAAATTTCTGAAATTTGGATTCA